CCCAGACAAACAAACGGGCTTAAGGTTTTAATAAGATTCATAGTTTTTGCTGTAAAATAAGACTTTTGAAGGTTGTTTAAGTTTCGAACATTTTGAGCGCAACGAGGAAAAACACTCAGAATTACGGGAAGGTAAGCTACAACAAGCACGGTGACCCCATCTTTTTATTGCGTTTTTTGAATGCCTAATATATGTCTGACCTTTGTGCCAGGTTTGAAAAAAAATCTGGATGGTAGATCATTTTCAAGGGAATTACCTCAATGTACAGGGTACATTTGACTCCATTGAAGTAGCGTAAACCACATTAATATCACGGCTGCTCCATGGGTCGAGTTTTTCGAAGGCCAATTAGCGCTAGCCCAGGGTTAAATTCAAACCTGGGTCTCTTTTTCTTTTCATCAAAAGCATTTTCTTGGAAAATTTTCTCTATTTTTTTTAAAGTAGCTAATCATCAAATTGTACACAAAAAATTAAACTGAATTTGCTTTTTTGGCTTTCATATCTGAATTCAAATTTCGCACTAATCCTGGGTTATCTTAACCCGACTTTGAACAACCCGCCCCTAAACTTTATGTCATCATAATAACAGATCCAACTTTACTATAATAACAATCTGGCTTCTCTCACACTTTAATGACTGTTTTGACACCTGTTTATAGACCATAATATGGATGTCTATTATCAGGTTAAACACAGGTTACAGGCTCCCACACTAGCTAGAAAATTTGACATTTCGCATTGGTTTGCCTGTGTTGCGGACGGACGGGTGGACGGTCACGTGATTACCAAATTTCTTGGATGGATGAATTACCAAATTTTCTTAGGTGTGGGGCTCCGGTGATAAAGGAATATGCAAAAATATTTCTCATTTACTAATATCAACTTCTTTTATGAGAATATCTGAAAAAATAAACCGTTCATATTCAGAAACTACAGGACCAGACAATTATTTAGAAAGTTTACCTAGAGGTATGGATTTTTTAGAACCTGGGATTATTTTCAACGAATAATAAATAATTATTAAACTACAGCTTTTGAGTGATTAGAAAAGCTATGCAGATCTTAGATGGTGGGCAATGTAATCCACCTACACACTCCTGCCTTATTATTCATATATTCGATCCGCATAATTATTCAGGTTATACCCAAAATCAATAATTGTTAATAATTTTCATTGCATCAGATTCTGTTAAATGTAAATAGTGATCTCTCTTTTGTCCAATGCTCACAAAGGCCACTTTTACACAAAATCAGCCTCTTTCATCACTAGTTTTGCTCGTTTGGCTAAACTTGTTCATTCGCAGATTATTAGCATGTGTCCTAATAAGCATTCGTTCAGTCTTATTCACACGCTACCTGTGCATGTAGATTTCTTATTATTTCCGGTTCGCTTTTCCACTGTAACTGAAGCATCATGATACCAATGAGCACAAACAAAGAGCATATGGTTTTCTTCTCCATTTGTTTCCTCTTCGAAGAACTGTAAGAAAGACAAATAAAACTGGATTCAGTGGTGCTGAAAAGAGCTGCTAACAATGTACACCCTCCATTCACGCTTCTCTTTGCCGTCGCTGGTACTTGCCACGGCACAGGTAGCCCAAGCTTATTGTCAGAGCCCTGTGCAACACTACTCTGCTTAGCTAATTAATTGGCATTATTGTTAATATATAGTTTTAGCCAGGGCTAAAAGCGAAGCTCCCATCAATAAATTTATAATAAACTTGTATTCCACAAATCAGTTAACTTTAGAGTACATTCATGTGACTTTTAAGGGAAAGGCTAAATGATTTTAGAGAAAAATGATTTGCAAATAGTCCGAGAGTGAACCAAATCTTACATCGAGTTGATAGCCCTACAGTTTACTGGGACTCTGCGACATGTATAACGTATTCTACAGACTACTATCACCGTCTTACTTTAGAAAGCTGGTTTACTAACTTAGAACAAACGCCACTGAATCGTAGCCAACAGTTACCATCGTACCATCGCCGTACAAAAGAGTTATTGACGAGATCAAGCAAAACTAACTACGAGAGAACGACTGGATAACTGACAATTTGACTAACAATAGACGACTGTTTGACTGTGACAATAGACGGATCGAAACGCACCAATTACTGATTACGAGTCTTCATAGCCAATCACATCACGGCTTAACTGACAGACGACCAATAACATCGCGACGTAATTGACCAATCAGATCAATAACCAGAGTATAATACCATCAACTGACGTGATATGACTCACTTTGACTCTGAACATGACTACCACACAGGTTGTCGAAACGTCAGTCACTGTCAACAACAACAGTCCTATTCAAGACTACGTTCACCCAGACGATCAAACTCAACCTACTTTTGAAATGACTCCTGGGTTCAAACCCTTCACAGTTTATAAAGATGCGAGTTTAAACCTTAAAATAATTTGATCAGAAAGGGTTAGCTTTTTCGTCTTTCTTCGGAGCCCCATATTTATACGACAAGGTCACATTTCGAGGTTATCTGCTATAGTGAAAACTGATTCCATTTGCTGTTATTGAAATGGATGGATGACAGTTGATCGCTCTTTTTGATATACAAATCCTGTCCAGTGGCATACAAATCATGTCAAAGAGAAAGTAAAATAAACTATTACAGCTGATTCTAAAGTCGCGGCACAAGCCGATTATTAAAATAGATTTACAAAGAGAGATACGGATTACTCTTACTGAAAAGAAAACAGTAACTTGATAACAGCCTGCGAACCACTAAGCTGAAACTTATGTCATGTTAGGCCCCTTCCCAATGTGGAATTTCTTATGAGTGCCGAACACATTCATGTATTTTAGTTGATGAAAGTAATTAACTACGGCAGTTGATTCAGACCTCGGATATGATGATGCCGAATTTAACTCCGTTTGTTCTAAATATTCCCAGTCTCTAGAAAAAAATTTTCTATCCAATACGGAGAAGGGTTTCTATGATTAATGATTTATATTCGGCACATGTGAAATGCGACTTCTAAATCAAATGTTGAACCTAAGTCGAATTTTTTCGACTGTTTCCATCGCAGATTTGACAAAGTCGTATTTAATTTGAAACTGTCGAATTTAGTTGATTCAGACTTCCTATCTTCGCACCTTGAATCAGACACCCTCTGCGCAACGGCGCACTTCCCTTTCCACTTTAAACCACCCCGAAACACTCCATGTCAACCTTAACAGATCTCAGAATTCCCAGTAGCTTACTTTCCGACGCAGCAAATCATCGATGTACAATAGATGTGTTGTCTTCAAACTGATTCGTTTTGACAACTTGTACGCTTCGGTTGCTTTTAGATTCCAAGCTATAGCATTCAGGCATAAGGTGAAGAGCCTTAGACAAAACGCATCGCCTTGCGGCAATGCCCTCTTAAAAGTTATCATTTCTAACGTTTTCATCCCTTGCTTCGGCTTATGGTGATACCACTAGCTATCTACATCAAGCCCATACTTCTAGCTGAGACACCAGTGAAAATGAGAGATACCGCTTTATCGTGACGCCGCTTGCAATCTTTTTGTGCTAGCACCTTGCAGTCACTTACGATGAGGGTTACGTTCTCTACTGTCTCGCCACTCAACTTACACATATCTGACTCTAGTTCGTGATATATGTTATTACGTTTTATTAATAATATTATCTCTTCTGCCACAGTCTTTGCTGGTGTTCCTTTTGTGCATCAGTCGGGCACAAACCATGCACCTGGAGCATCAGTAACTCAAGTCAATCATTTTGTTCATACGCTAAGCACCTTGCTGAGGATTCGTGCAAATCCCAGCATGCAGATCTTTTGGACATCTGTCACAGTACCTATCTCTAATACTTTCTTGATGTTTTCTACCATCCCCTTCTTTACTGTACCAAGTGCACCAACAACGTCAGGGATCACTTCGGTTTTCATCTGCCACTTCCCTGTATTTCTAGTTCTAGGTCTTTGTATTTGCTTTTCTTTTCGATTTCCTTCAGTGCGATGTTTCTATCTGATGGAATAGTCATATCAATCAGTTTGCAAGTGGAGTTCGCTGAATCTTTAACAATGATTTCTGGTCTGTTTGATATAGTCCTATCATTATGGACTGGCATGTCCCACATGATGG